GAAAATGGAATTTGTCGCTAGGGAAGGTGCACAGACTTAACGGTAATGATGGCGTGATAACAGGCTTTGTATTTCAGCTCTTACCTTACCTTCATCTTACTAACATGCCGCAGCCGCATCGCTGAAAGTCACCCCGCTAGTCCTCCACTTCCTTTACGACCCAGCCTTGGCCCTTATTTTGACTGGCAGCAGCAGAGAGGAGTGGCTCTGCACGCAAGCATGCCGCAAGAAGGTGCACAGGAAGTGCTTCATGTCTGATGACGAGGATGTGACGTCCGTCAACCACCTCATGCACATCGAGAAGCACGGCTTTGCCACAAAGAGCTCACTGGAAAAGACTCGTCTCACCATCATCAAGAAGGAGTACGAGATTTAACACAGCAGCTGATCATCAGCACACTTAGATCAGCAGCAAGATGGTGCTCAGCAGTTAGTGTTCTCATTATAGTCGCCGTTCTCAGCCTGTAGATGCATACGGGCTGCCAGTTAGTGGTCAAATGAGTAACAATAAAAAACTCATCACTTGCGCGTGCCTTAACGTCAACGGACTCGGTAGCAGCGCTAAACAACAATGGGTTGAAGACAGTTTTAGAAACGAAGGAGACATCCTAATTCTAGTAGACACCAGACTAAGCAACACTCACACATACTGGTCCTCCGCGCACTTCACAATGATAGCCGCAGCATCACCGACACATGAAGCCGGCGGAGTGGCCGTCCTCAGTAGAAACCCCATCCTTAGTTTCACCAACACCATCTCTCACGCATCTGGTAGAATCATCTGCAAAGAGGTCCAGGCATTTGTTTCACTCTCATTGCAACTTACCTTTTCGCTGACCTTGCCTCGCGCACCCCTTTTGTATTCCACGTCCTTGGTCCGGTAGTAGATCAGGTAGCTTGCGGCTCCCACTTGCTCATTATAGGGGACTTGAATATGGTAGAGGACCTGCTGTGAGACAGGACCTCTGGTAGCGGATCCTCAACTGAAAACGACATACTGGTTAACCGATGTGGAGCCTTCCAGTTGTCTGACGCCTTCCGCACTCTTTACCCGCGGAGACGTGAATATACCTTTTACTCTCCACCACAACAAGCCAGCTCTAGGATAGACCAAGCCTTAGTATCATTATACCTCCTCCCCTTTCTTGATGATGCCTCCCATGAGACGCCGGCGGAAAAAAACTCAGACCACCTGTTCGCGATCAAGGTAGATTATAAGGTCAGGATGGGTCCTGGGATTTGGAGACTACACGCATCGCTGTTGAGCAGACCTGGGATTAGGAGAATCATTGAGGAAACACTGCAGAAGCTGACTGTAACGGACGGCAATAGCTTCGAACTACTCATCACACAACTCAACGCCAGCCTCCGAGCCTACACAAGAGAGGAGAGTAAACGGGTACGGGGAACCTTCGCGCACTTGATGAAAGCGGTGGCGACGCTTCGTCAGGAAGTGCTGGGCAACCCGAAGTGTGGCCGGAGAAAAACACTACTGGAGGAGAAAGAAGTTCAGCTGAAAGAATACCGGTCGACAAAATGGGACAGGATGCACCTCATGGCAGGACTAGACACGGAACTCAAGGGGGCAGTTTCTTCGAAGCAGCTTTAAGGCAGGGTTAAGGCGTAGAAACGTTGTACCCAGATCACAGAGCTTCAGTTGGCGGGTGACATGGTAGCGGACTCGAAGCGGATACAGGAAGCTGCCTCCGATGACTTTCATCAGATTTGTGGAAGAAACAGACGGCTAGATTTCCGGGAATGGTCCTCAAACTCCGGCACACGGTTACGTCCCTGGGAGGTAGGGGAGCTGGAAGCAGATTGGTCGGAAGCGGAGGTGAAAGCGGCCTTCGCGTCCATGGCAAAAGATAAATCACAAGGAAATGATAGGCTGCCGAAGGAGTTGTTCGAGGCCAACTGGGATCTTTTGGGAGGAAGCTTCATGGTGTCAGAATGTTATATTTCTCTAGTCTGTAGTGGGGTACTCTCTAGTGAGTACAGCCCTGTTAGGGTTTGCTATATGTACTCAACTGCCTGCTAGTGAAACCTCTCTTTCCTGTTCTAACTTCTGCTTGCTTTCTTCACACATGGCTCTGGTGAAGGACTTCATAGCGTTGGCATCGCTCCCCGCGGAGGTGAAGGAGGCAGTGAGGATTCTCCTGCACAAGAAGGGGGATAAGGACCAATTAATCAACTATGGACCAATCACACTACTTCATTTCTCCTACAAAATCCTCGCTGGCGGATCGCATGAAAGCAGTACTGCACCTGGTGATTTTGCCGGAGCAGTATGGCTTCATCATCGACTCCGTGCCTCCTCGCATTTACCGTCGCCGACCACTCCCACATTGCGCACCGTCTGTTTAGAGGGTGAGCACGAGAGAATATTACAAACGAGAGGAAACATAACATGATGAACATATGACTCCGTAAATTACATGGCACTGGGGCTTGGTGAGAGTTGTTTGAAGCGCGTGAGAGGGAAGGCCTCAATAGCCTAGCACGAGCCACACGAACACCAAGGCATGTACGGCATATGCCTGAAAAAAAATAGGGGAGCAGCCGCTGGAGAATGGCGGTTAGGACTGGTTCTCGCGAGAACCACGCGCGCAATGTGGAGGGTTTAGGGAAAACGGAAAGGGGAAAGGTAAGGGTGAGCTGTGGAATATGGGGGATAGGCAAAGGGGTAGCGGCCTGGTGGCTTGCAGCATGCGAGTGGCTGCGCACGGGAAACTGTGGGAAAATGTTGTGTGCATACGGGAGGGGGGATTGACGGAACCGAAAGGGACCAAGGTCGGCGGAAAATCACAGGTTTCGGACAGCAGGTAAGGGGAGTGCAATGTAGCTTGAATGATGGATGCTCGGAGCAGGAAAAAAAGATCATGTGTGTGGGGAAGAAGAGGCAGGGTCAGTGCTGTAAACAGGGGACTATCAGGACGGGGGAGGATTAGGAGGAGCTGAAAGTATGAGGGGAAACGGCATCTGGATGGGACGAGGTTTGCACACCAGGGATGCGTGGAATAGCTCGCCCCTACTGAGGGGAAACGGAAGGGGAAAAGAAGCATGCAGGGGTGACGAGAGGTTGCTACCAAGGGAGAGGAGGAGGAGGGGGGGGGGGGGGTTGGGCGGGGATGATGGGGGGATGAGATGATGTTGGATGGATGGAAGAGATGAAGCCAAATGGGGGGATGAGATGATATTAGAGAGGGGGATGAGAGGAGGGGCAGGGGTGGAAAGGATATTGCTAGCTGGGGGGATGCGATGATGCTAGCTGGGAGGATGAGATGTGGCTAGCATGGGGGGATGAGATGATGTTAGATGGGGGGATGAGATGATGTTAGATGGGGGGGATGTTATGATGTTAGATGGGGGGATGAGATGATGCTAGATTGGGGGATGAGATGATGTTAGATGGGGGGATGAAATGATGCTAGATGGGGGGATGATATGATGCGTTATTGGGTGATGCTATGGTGCCAGATGGGGGGATGGGAGGAAGGGCAGGGGTGGGAAGAGTGATGATGCCAGCTAAGGGGATGAGAGGATGCTAGCTGGGGGTATGAGATGTTGCTAGCATGGGGGGATGAGATGTTGCTAGCTGGGGGGAGCAGTTACAAGCTCGGGGGTGAGCGGTGGCTAGGTGGGGGGATATGTGGTTCTGTCACTGGTGGCCGGGGGTCAGAGCTAATGCTAGCAGAATATCCCACCCCTTCTACCATAATCAACTCCCTTACATACCTTTCCCCCCCCAACTAGCGTGTGCTCAGCCCCTTCTACACGTACCTCTCATACCCCATAGTACAATGTTGCGGTCCAGCCCCTATTTGGCCCTCGCTTCTAACTCTGACTTGAGATTATGTCTTTTGTATTACGGTGTTGCGCAAAGGGTGCCTTAGCAGGATCGTGGTGGCACAACGGTTGGCATGGGGAGCTCACAAAACAGAGTGAGCGGAGATTTGGGGGATCATCTAAAGTCAATTATGGATAAGCACCCTCAAATGATGGTGTCATTGGCGACACACGCGACCCTGCCCGTTGCCATCATGCGGTGTGGCCTCTCGTCACTGTTGGGGAGGGAGGCTTCTTTCAATGACTTGATGCACGTTCTGGTGACATCTTCATCCGATGTCGTCAGCAAGCTCATCGATGCAGCCACGGATTCATGTCAGTGTCCGCATATGGTAGCTGTTCTAAACTCACACTCCTCTTCGTTTGCACGAGCATCACTCATCCCACCCCAGACCCACCCCCCTCATTCCTCTTACCTTCCCCACCCCGCATACTTTCACCCCCCAGCCCCCCCACCCCTCAAACCCTTGCGACATCTTCGCCCATATTAGTGCACTACTACAATGCGCATAACACTCAACCATCGCCCCCCCACCCCGCTCTAATGTCCTGGAGTTGCCCCACCATCAATCCGTTATCAAACTATGTTGTGTCCGCTCTGCCCAAATATCCCCAAATCAAGTAAACAAGCTTCTTTGGTTTTGTGTGACAGGTGGGAATGAGACAACAGTAAAGGACCAGACCAAACTGCACATGGAGGCTCAGCGTACATGTTTTCTGTTGAGCCAAGTGGGAGAGACGGCAGAGGTCGCTCGCTTGCTCCAACGGGCGCCTCTTTCATGTAATGGCTACGAGTACCAATTCCACACATATCACCGCAACGCTCGGGGAGGGGTCGTTCCGGAGAAGGGGCATGGCCATGGAGGAGACCGTTGTGGGCCCGCATATCGAGCATTGCGGGATGCGGGTACACATGTATGTGTACACGCATTTGGTATTTGACACATCACCACTGCCAAACACGTACGTCCCATAAAGCCGTAAGTGATGCATCCACAACATTTCGCCTCGCTCTGGCTGCATTCTTTCTATTATCACCCATTGATAACATTTAAAAAATCCGACATCTTGATAACCACTCGGGGATATCAATGCGCATTCTCATCAATTTGGCATCCTCTATACGCCAATCTGCCTAACCAGGGCACAACACGATGCGTGCTAGGGGAGAAGCTGCAGTTACCGAAGGCGAAGATTCGCCTATTGCAGGTTCGGAGGATGCGCTGGGCAATACCGAGGTCGTGGGGGATTTCGTAGGAGAGGAGATGGGCTCGGAAGGAGGGGGGAGTGGGGCTGCAGTGAGAGATGGAGATCGGCCCGATGAGGGTGTTAGGGTGCGTAAAGGAGGTGACCCAGACCCGGGACATGTCCAGGAAACAGCGCAGTAGGGTAGCCCATTGATTGTGGAACTAAACGAGGGCAACGGGAGGGAGGGCAGATCGGACGGGGGAACTAGTGAGAGTGGCCGAACAACTGCATTTGTGCCGCCTGCGACCGTCACAGCCCCGCTTGACGGGTACGTAGGTGTGATAGCATATACTTGTCTGCGCATCAAGGCAGTCAGTGGGCTGGTTGTGTGTGGGCTGGTTGTGTGTGGGCTGCTTGTGTGTGGGCTGGTGAGTGGGCGGTTGAGTGGGATGGTGAGTGATATGGTGAGTGGGCTGGTGAGTGGGCGGGTGAGTGGGCGGGTGAGTTGGCTGGTGCGTGGGCGGGTGGTGAGTGGGCGGGTGGTGAGTGGGCGGGTGAGTGGGGGGCCGGTGAGTGGGCGGGTGAGTGGGCTGGTGAGTGTGCGGGTGAGTGGGCAGGGGAGTGGGCTGGTGAGTGGGCGGTTGAGTGGGATGGTGAGTGATATGGTGAGTGGGCGGGTGAGTGGGCTGGTCAGTGGGCGGGTGAGCGGGCGGGTGAGTGGGTGGCTGGTGAGTGGGCGGGTGATTGGGCTGGTGCGTGGGCTGGTGCGTGGGCTTGTGGTGAGTGGGCGGGAGAGTGGGGGGCTGGTGAGTGGACGGGTGATTGGGCGGGTGAGCGGGCGGGTGAGTAGGCGGGAGATAGCGATGTGGAGTGGGTGGGTGAGTGGGCTGGTGAGTGGGCTTGTGGTGAGTGGGCGGGTGAGTAGGGGGCTGGTGAGTGGGCGGGTGATTGGGCTGGTGCGTGGGCTGGTGCGTGGGCTTGTGGTGAGTGGGTGGGCTGGTGAGTGGGCGGGTGATTTGGGCTGATGAGTGGGCGGGTGAGTGGGGGGCTGGTGAGTGTGGGTTTGAGTGGGCTGGTCAGTGGGCTGGTGCGTGGGCTGGTGCGTGGGCTTGTGGTGAGTGGGCGGGTGAGTGGGGGGGCTGGTGAGTGGGCGGGTGAGAGGGTTTTGGTGAGTGGGATATGACATGCCTATATAACAGCTCATCGTTCCATCATAAATTGTTGAATACCCTTTGTCCCTTTTACGTTCCTTCCCTTTCAAAGGCCGACCACAGAAATTCATGACTCAACCCTCCCGAGGAAACTGGCTAGCAGTTGGCGGTTGTCCCCAGATGCAGCCGTATCCACCCTCAAAGGAGCGGTATGTCTGTTGGACCCTATTGTGTTGCTCCAGTTTTTCATGAGTCTTGGAGTAATCTGCTGTCAACGAGCTGCATGCAAGGGATCGATGCAGTTGGGCTTATGCAAGGTGACATGGGCAACGTTTGGGGTATTGTGGGTTTGTAGTACTTGCTCGAAAGTCGTAGAGTTTTGGTCTACCAAACGTGGTAAAGTTACAAGAAGTCCTAACAAGCAGGGTCCCAAAACGTCTTTCTTACTACCCCGGTTCTTGGGCGCATTCGTTATGGTGGGACTTGGCTTTCAGCAGATGTCAGAGGCTAGCAGAACGCTAGGATTCAAATCAATCGGGAAGGAGACTTTCTATCATTACATGAGACGTCCATTCGGGTTATGGGAGGCTATCATAGTTGTTACGATATGAAATTGCACGAGTAGGCATTCCTGTATGCTGCAGGAGCCGACTCTACCGAGTACGAAGTCGAGGAGTCAGAAGAGTCGAAGCGACGCAGCAACCGTCTGACCAAGACCGATGCAGGCAGAAACATTTGAAGTGAAAAGAGCGGGAACAGGTTTGAAACGGGTTCCCGCGCCGCACGGTTTGAATTTGGTTAGAATAAGGGAATGTACCCCTTAGAGTACATGGCTAGTCTAGGTCTTTTTGTATTCCCCTGTACTCTTATAAACCAGATGTATGCATGCTTTTATTAAAGCGACGGGCAACTTTTGGCAGTGTTGGGTTCAGAAGTTTTTTTTTTGAACCAGGCTTGCCAGCGCGAAAGTGCTGGCTGGCGAAAACCAGGATTTCGTGCGGACACTTTCCATCCGCAGTAACAGTTCGCCAGGGTTCTGGGTTTTGGGTGGCAAATGTGCACCGTCGCTTTAACTCAGTCATTTACATTCACTCTGACCTGAGATTCAAACTTCCGCTGCAACACTACTCTGCGATCAACCCTGAGCGATCCTTCGCTAAGTCCCACTTGGGATTGTAACATGGCATGAGAGCTACTCAGGGATTCTTCGCATCATCACTTCCTTGAAATTCGCCGAACCAAGATCTGGCGAGCGGCACACGCTCCAAGACCAAGATGGCCGGAGGATCCAGAGGCCAAACCAATCTGACGGCTGAAGGACAAACCAACCCGGCTGCGACAAATGAGGCGACAACTACGATCAGCACTGCCGCACTCGAGCAGTTATTCGCTCGACTTTCAACCATGGAGAAAGAACTCCAAGACTTGCGCAAGGGCGATGCGGGAACCTCTTCCCATCCAGCCCAACCTGGACAACCGGCAACGAAAAGCCGAGATACCGCCGCGCACACCTTCTCCCTCGACACAGACAAATCAGCAACAACTGCCCCCCGTCCAAGTGATGAAGTCATTAACTCTGCGCAAGCACGCTTTCTCGGCGTTTCAAAAATCAAGACTACCGCCGCCTTCGACGGCAAGGACTTCTACACATGGAGCTTCGAGATTGAGCTCCTCCTACAAACGGCGCAGATCTACCATTACTTCGACGGCTCCTACCCTAAACCGGTGGAAAACACCGAAGTCGCCAGGGCTCAGTACTACAGCGAGTCCCTCATGGCCTACAGTGTGCTGCTACGCAACATGATGCCTGCGGAACAACTCAACATTCGCTCCTACAAAGAGAGCGACGCTCCAGCCTTGGAAGCTTGGAAGCACCTCGTTGAAGTTTACCAGCCGAAGGATTCGGTCACCGCCAGCAGGCTTCTGCAGCAACTTTTGGAGATAAAGATGGGGCACGGGGAGAAAGCGAATCCGTACATTAACCGCTGTCGCAACATCCGTGACCAGATCACGAAGCATGGGAGTACAATCTCGGAAGAGATTTTCGTCAACATAGTGGAAGCCCTGTAAAGCGTTACTCCGACAGCGAGGGACCATCTCAGAAGCCGCGCTATGCGCCGCACTCCTGTCCGAACAGCAGGACATGGATTCAAGCAGAACAAGCTCCGCGCCGCGCCGAGAGCGCCTCGCCTTCTACGCTGACAACCGTGAAGAGCGACGACAACCAAGGCGCCATTACTGCAAAATATGCAAAGTCTTCGGACACTCAACGGATCGATGCAAGTCCCGATCCAACTATCGCCACCCAAATTCCACTCACCACAACAACTGGGTCGGCCGACAGGATGCTCGCCATCCTCAGTCTCAGCAACAGACACCTCGTCCTCCTGCGCAACATCAACATCAGCAAACTCAAGGATCTCAATCAGGAGCTCCTAGGAATATCATCGCAAATATGACGACGCGCCGACGTCGCACTGCTGAACCTGACAAGGAAAATGAGATTCAAGGGAGACTCCTTGAACCAGAAGAGGGTTGGAATAATCCCCTCACTGAAGATTATTATTACCGGTATGACGAAGACGAGCAGGATTGGAACCTGCCAATCACCTTGAGGGAGAGCCCGCAGCATGACAATCAACACTACGTACCGGTGGGATGGAAGGAGGACGAAGACCCTCACTTCCACAGACGCTACAAGGCGACCCTGGTGACTCCGCGACTGGCACTACTTCTGCGCAGAAACAACAACAACAATCACAACACCTGGTACATGGACAGCTGCTGCGGACAGCACATGGTGGGATCTACGCGATACGTCTCGAACCTGAGCCGCGCCCCCCCAACTTACGTCACCGTCGCCAACAACGAGCAACTGCGCGCCAATGCACAAGGCATCGTGGTCCTGCAAGCACGAGACAGTAACACACACATTTCGTTCAACGACGTACTCTACGTCCCAAACCTTCGTTTCAATCTTCTCTCGGCAGGACAACTTCGCGACTGCGGCGTCATCCTCACCACGGACCTCGCCACACGCGATCTCATTCTCACATACGCCCCTCCAGATACCCCTCCCGAGTCGTTCAAATATCTCGGACGAGCCCGCTCGATCAACGGCATCTACGTCCTCGACTTCGACGTACCTTCCTGCCAAGCTTCATCCGACGAACTCGTGGACCTCGTCCCCCTTGAGTTCGCCTACATGGGCAAGGAATCATGGGAGCACCCGGACGGACGACCATGGGTTCGCCGCAGTCCACATCCCCGCAAAATCAACCTGCACGAGCCAGATATCAATGGACTCTGCACCACCTGCCATACACCCACGGCGAGCCGCACAGAACAAGTCGAAAAGGTGTACGTGGCAATTCAGGAAGCGGAGAGCGCCGAAGCAGAACCAACAGGCATGACTACAGAAGAACTCGCGGTGTCGTCTTACCGCATCTTCGGCGAAGCAAACGACGACCTCGGACTTCAGCGAGAGGAGCGGACAGCGCCATCCTCGGAAAACCTCCGGTTCGTCCTGGAAGCTAACACCACCACCCTCGACGAAGATGGACGACCACGTCCCTACACCCGCGAAGTTTACCGCCGCGAAATTGACCCGGCTTGGAAAGATCCTGACGCAACAGAAGAGCTCAGCGTCAAGGAAGAAGAAGACAAAGCCCGGGCGGAAAAGAAACAGAAACTGATTGAGGAACGTGTCGCGGCTGGATGGGACGAGGAGTCAGCACGACGAGGCGCATGGGGAGATGAAGATTACGAACCAGAAGAAGGCGCAACATGGGGATCCGCCACTGGAGCATGGGGAGCCAGCGCCAGCGGTGCGGTCACCACGGGAGGATGGGGCAACACCGGCGGATGGGGAGGAGACGAATACGCGGACGCTCCGCTCACCAAAGAAGAAGAAGAAGCGATAGAACGCGAGATGAAAGCTGAGCGTGGAGAACCATCCCCTCGTGTCGCCATTCCACTCGGACGACCCCCACGCACCCGCTCACCTCCCTCCTCCCCCTATCGGTGGCGTGATCGATGGTCGGAGATTGAGGAGGGGAATGTACCGCCAACTCCTCCGCGGGACTCTCTTGGTCCAATCTCTCGCCCAGATCCTTTCGCCCGATTCATTGAAGGCACCACGACTCCGCTCACCATCATCCCCGACCGCAAATTCCTTGCCCTCTACCTCACAACGGCACCTGCAGAAGGGGAGACAACGGGGGAAGCGGAAGCAGAAGCAGAGGAGCTGGACAACGAAGCAGAACCAGGAGAAGAGGAAGAACCCCCACTCCAGATCCCGCAGGTCACGGAAGCAGAAGCGGCAGAATACCTCGCTCGCTACAAGCGCACTTCCGGCATCCGCGCCGAAGATGACCTCTGGCACCAGCGGCTGGGACACCCCTCGCGCCAGACCCTCGCCAACTGCCTCCGCGCCAAAGTTTTTCCGCCAGGAGCACTGCTGCGCCCCGACGGAACGGAACCGCACAACACCCCTCACCCAGTCACCTGCACTGTCTGCCCCATAGCTGCGCTCTCCCATAGCGCCTACCCCTCCCTGGAGCCAAGCACCAACCGCTACAAGAAGCTGGAGAAAGTATACAGCGACTTCATCCTCCTCACCTTCGACGGCATCAACGGCGAGAAATATACTCACCTTCATCGACGCCTACTCGCGCCATGTGTGGATCGCCAACGTCGACGCTCGCTCCAAAGCTCCCGAAGTGTTCCGCATCTTCCTCGCGCACGCGCAGCGACAGTCAGGAAGGAAGCTGAAGATCTGGCAAAGTGACGGGGCCAAGGAATTTCGCAGCAACGAGCTGGAGAGTGTTCTTACAGAGAAGGGGATCAAGCATGAGACCTCACTCCCCTACGCT